CCGCTGCTCGGGGCTGCGCCCAGGCGCTTCCCGGGACCTGGGGATACCCTGCCGCCGGTGCCTGGTTGTTCTCTATGTGTTGTACCGGGAATTGAAACAGTCGGCTTGCCAAGTACACAAAAGCTCTAAACATACTATAGCTGCTTTGCATTATCCAGGAGGTGTTATTTTAGATTAAAATTTATATAGATAGATAATTAAGATTATGATACAAAGTTGCTTCTGGAAATCGGACTAAATAAATTCTTATTTCGGTCCTCAGAGGAAAACACCACCACCAATAAAGGGCTTCCCTTTCCCCCTACTGACTTAAAACTGAAAACTGAATAGCTATGTATTTGTAATGTTATGAAATATTCCCTTTTTTATATTGGGTAAGGAGTTAAGGCATTGATTAGCAGTATCATATATCGCTTTTCCCTGTATCTTGGTATTTGTGCGGTGAAAATGTTGGTGTTTTTTTCCACTCCATACGAACACTTTTTTCAAATTTGTTTTACTGGAAAATTCAGTATAATTTTGCTTTTAATCTTAATTGCACAAACTATTCTTCAGCTATTTCTAAATTCATAATTGATATTTCAAAATTTAAGTTTAATTACCCACTGCTATACTTATATGTACAGTTTGTACTATGGTAACCTAGGACTTTCTAGCTGGTGATTGTTCCCCAGTCATCCCATAGATTCTTAATGATTTCCTCATATATTAAAATTTAAAACTCTGAAATCAATTTCTATGGTCTTTCCTGTCTGTAACTCCTAATTTATATTACTGTTCCTTGGAAATTGAGATTTTGTTTTACTGTTTCAAAATAAACCATATGCACAGTAGGGTTTCTGATAGTGCTCCTTATCGAATTTGCTTTGTTGTTCTGATTGCCTTAGGATGTTCAGCATCATAATGACGTTCCCTCTGAGTAGCCGCCTCTGGGGAGAAATCACGTTGATCTATTATACAGCTTTACCTGCAGAACTTGACGAAACTGAGCTGAATAGGACAGAATCACTGATACTCGGAATGGTGAAGGGTTTTGCATCTTTTCTGCCTTTGCCTTTGCCGCTGGTACACACTGCCCTCTCTGGCCGCCGTGGTGAAGCATTTAGTTGTCGCACCTTTCAGGCAAGGATTCTGTGGCTGATGGCAGAGCTACAGTGAAAACAATGTAGTGTCTGGCTTTTCTTCTTAATGTTACCCAGCCTACACTATTTTTACATGCTGGTGTATTTCCAAAGCTCAAGTTAAATTGTTGTTGTTAGGCTTACTAGGAAGAAAACAAACTATCTTTTAAGTCTTCTGTAGTTTATGTATATGTGCTTTGTAAATATGGGGAAAAAGAGTCAAGAAATTAACAAAAGTTGATTCTGAGAAGAGAATCTGGGAGACTGAGAAACAGGAGTAAAGGGAAGACTTCTGGTTCACTGCACACCCATTTGTATCACTTGATTTTTTTAACCAAATGCATGTGTTATACCTATACAAAAATTGATATTTTTTTAATTATCTTTTCAAAAATCTTGGCTTTTCCCAGTGCCACCACTAAACACATGAAAAAGTAGCCCTTAAGTATCCTATAAGGTAAGTTGCTTCAACATCGAAGTTCTTACCAGAAGCAGTTATTTAACATTTGCACAATTACATATATTACCTACTGAAAGCCTTTTTTGGAATATTATGGTCAGTTTGTACTAAAACAAATCAGCTATCATGAGTGTGCGAAATTTTAAGAAGGTAATTTTCTTAAAGATGCCACTGATTCTTTCTTTTACTTTCAGCAGTAAGAACAAAAGGATAACTGTATTAGGCTTTTAAATCTTTCATATATTGTTAAAATTGAATAATTCACTTCTGCTTATGATCACTCCAGGCCTTATAAAATTTGACTTACCTTCTATCAAAGTTAAGTAAGTATCATAGTCACATGAAAATATTACATTAGATTTATAAAACATTTTTTACTGGATTTCACATTCGTTCTGCACATTTGCTTCAGGAGAATTCTATTAGATGTAGTTACATTTACATCTGTTAAAACTGTGGTTAAATTTATGGTGTTATAGTGCACCATTGGCACTATATTTAAAAAACTTTATCTGAGACTTTGACAAATATTAAACTCCTGTCCTTCATTCTTAAGCTTCATCCAAGAAAGTAAAACCATACAGAAATAAGTATTGTACCAAAGAGCTATCCCTTTAATAGGGAAGTTTTTAAACATAGCCTTGTTAAAAATTAACTTTTTGGCTGCTTTTTCCCCCTGGGAGTTGGAGAAAATGTTTCAATACTAACATTTGAAAAGCCTGACTAAACGATGGTTTTATTATAGTAAATCCTCAAGTTGAATCTAGTTTATCTATGTTTTGAAACCAAACTCACCTTTTAGGAAAAACATGTAGCCCTGTAATGCAGGCACATGTTCATTACAAAACAAGTTCAAATCAAAGCCATTTTCAGTCCTTTTAGGAATGAGATAGAAGAAAGATAAATTTTAAGTAAAGTTCACATCTAAAAGTCTAAACAATCCAAGTTCTGCTCTTGGTTACTACCCATTCAGCACAATCCCCTGTGGTTTAAAAATTTATGCTCCTGCAGAGTAATTGTTGATACTAAAAAAAAAGTGTGTCCCTGAGACACTTTGAGATCCCAGTTATTGTGGTCTTTGAGTCGGAACAGGGATCCTAAAAGGTGATGTAACCAGTGGTTTCCAAATTTCCCTTAACAGAACTCCCTCAGAGGAACTCTTATAAGGGGTTATTTAAAAACTAAACAAAAGCAGCAGATGAGAGCAAGGTTGCTCTAATTGGTGAGGGTCTTACCCTCTGAGTCCCTCAGGAGAATGGCTCCTGAAAAACTGACACTTTTTTTTTATAGCATGTTTGTTATACTGCTGACAAAATTACAGGGTGTACTAATCTGAAAGCTCAATTCATTCCAGACATTAGGTTGGTTTAAACATGCCTAGAGTAATATATTGGAAATAACAGCCTTAGTGGGTAAGAGATAGCAAATACTCCCTAAAATGTGACCTGGTTGTGTGAAAATCTGATGGCAGCTGCTGTGGATGCCTGAGGAAGACTTCTGTGTGATCAGAGCATGCAGAACCCCGTCTCAAGGACAGCCCCATTCTGCAGGAAAGAGAGCCACTTCTGCTACAGTTCCTCTTTCTTACAATAGATGGGCAGTGTGATTAGCATATGGAGACTAGAGTGCTCCCAAATTTCGCCAAAATCCATCTTCTTTCTTAACTAAAAAGTAGAATTAAATTTGATTAAATGAGGCTGCTTTTTTGTTCTCTGGAACACAGTTGATTGAAAACAAGTTACTACTACCTCAAGTAGTATGTGGACTCTAACTGAACTCCATTCTGCTTTCATTATGGAAAAGAGTAAGGAGCAGGGAGACCAGTTAGGTGGTCACATTCGGGACTCTCATGATAGATTTACCACACCTTATGTTTACC